TATTTGCTTTGCCGGCAGCACTCGGCTTTTTTTTTTTTCTCTCTCTCCTGCTCAGCCGGCACGAGCCAGCCTCCCCCGCCGGATCTGGAAGGGGTTATTACTGGCCACTCGGTCAGAAGTGACACTGTGGCCGGAGGGGAGCCGCCTGTTCCCCCACCCCGCTCATAGGACTTTGCCAAGAGCATTGCGTGCCGCTGGGGGGGGGGGGGTGGGGCAGGGCCGGCTGGGCTCCGGTGGCTCCCGGGCGCAGCGCGGGGCCATAGCAGAGCCCCGCAGTAACGTCACTGGCTCCCCAGGGCATGAGGCCGCGGCAGAGCCCCGGGGCGGTGAATCGCGGAGAGCTCTGGGGGCGGACCCCGGAGAAGCCCTGTGGGAACCACGTGTCCGCTTCGCGTCAGGGATGGGTCCGGCCAGGCTGCCTGAGGGCCAGGCGCTGGGCTGAGCCGGCGAAAGCAGAACAGAGAGAGGCCTCGGGTCAAGCTGCTAGGACACGTGCGGGGGAGGCCGAAAGAAACTGGACATCCAGCCAGTGTCTGTGGCTCCGAACAACCCCCAGCTGTGCAGCCCCGGGGCGGGGGAGTTGCTACTCCTGGGCTGGGACGTTTGGCAGGGGAGGCAGCAGGCTTTGCTTGAGAGTGCTCAGAAGAGACGTTTGAGTTTTTTTCTCTCCTGCTCTGCCGGCAGCACTTGGCTTTTTTTTTTTGCGATTTCCCCCCCCCAGTCCCGATATTTTCTTCCTCTCATCTGGTCACCCTATGTGTACAGCACCACTAAGCACCAGCCATGGTGAATAAGGCTTGAGAAATGAGGCGGGAAATTGCTCAGTTGCATGAAACTAGGGCAGTGGCACTGAATACTGGCACCATTTTCCACAGACTGTGGTGATTTTAGCTGATATCTCACTAGTGAGGGTAACAAAGACACAGAGATCACAGCTGCTACTGGTGACCCAAAGTCGCTTAGACCTGTATGCTGCTAGTCTGTGTACTACAATGGCCTGCTGAAGTTACTGCTGGCTGGCATGGGAAAGTGTCCTACCGCAGAGGAAGAAATAAGGTTGCCATCCCTAGAAACCTTCAGGAAAGGACTGCAAAGTACCTCCATGAAACTTTCATCGAGATCTCTCAGAAGGATATATATATATATACAAATTTCTCCTCATGGCTCCAATCTTGCCTAACTCTACAGGGGAATGAAAAGCAGATAACATTATTTCTCTTTTTTGTATTGCTACCTCTTCTAGTACAAGTAAAATAATGCAAAATCCATAAATGTGTCCTGTTAAGTCGGGGGTGCCATCACTGTAATGGGAAATAAATTTACACACTTACCAGAAGATCCTTCTGTCCACTGGGCTCACTCGTTCTTGATTGCCAGGACTGACTAGATGCATTGGAGTTTCAAACAGGTCCTGGCTAATAGTCGCTTGTCTCCCATCCTCATCCTCCTTGCTGTTCCGGTCAGGGATCTGTGGCTCAGGCTCCCTGGAGGTATCCATGGTGGTGGGTTCTCCTCTAAGTATGTCATGCAGCTCTTTGTAAAATCAGAAGGCCTGTGGATTGACTGTTGGCCTCCCTGGCCTTCTGGTATGCCTGACACATTTCCTTTGCTTTCACATGGCCCTGCTGCTGGTCCCTGTCGGTCGTACACCTTCTCCTGCAACCCTCCCTGCAATCTGCTCATAGATGGCCACATTTCTATGGCAGATCCATAGCTGTGCTTGCACAGCCTTTTCTCGCCACAGGCCTAAGAGATCCAGTATCTCCTGTCTATGCCAAGCTGGAGCTCATCTGGAGCATGTAGCCAGCATGGTCTGCTGGGCAGTTGTGCACAACAGTGGAGAGCTTCCAAGTGTGCTCACAAGGCTGGACAATCAGGAAAAGGCATTTTAAATATTCATGGGGCATTAAAAGGAAGGAGGGGCCTTCTGGTCTCTGTCACTCCTGGGCAGTGGAGTTCACAATTGAGATACCAGAGCAGTCAATGTTGGGATTGTGGGACAGCTGCTGGAGGACTGCTAGGGTCAACACAGGTTACTCAGTGTCTTTGCTTGCACAGCATTGACCTCTGTACATCAACCATAGCTCAATGCCACTTGGGGAGGCAGTGTAACAGCATTGCTGTAACGGGGCGCTTACATTGGTGGGACACAAATTTAAGTGTAGACACATGCGCAACTAGGTCAATGCAAAATGGCTTCCGTCGACTTAACTTTGTAGTGTAGACCAGGCGTCACTGTAGTGAAGCTGCTGCTTGTATAGTCCTTTCTTAGGGTCAAACTTTCCAACCTCATCTTTCATGCTCTTCTTTGCTCCATTTACCCATACTTGACCGTTTTCCAGCTATGTCAGAGAGCAGTGAAAAGAGTAGTGCTAGCTACACCCCTTGTGGAAATTGCTGTGACCCTTTTTTGGCATCTATTTGACTACCAGCTAGTTGCTCTTGAAAGCAGAATGTGGTTGCATCCTCCTTTCATGCAGTCCGGTTTGTTTAAAAAGAAAGAACTAGAACTGAACATTTTTACAAAAAAGAACAATTTCCCACTCTCAATTCTTTTTATGCCCTGCAAAAGGTCAGGAATGTTTAAAATTAATGGCAACCAATGTAAATGAGAAACAGAAACGAAAGAAACATTAATTCCCTTGCATACAGTCCAACTTGCTTCCTTTTTCCAAAACAGAAACTGTTTGCCTGCTTTGGCTACTAAACCACCAGGAATTTCCAGCCCTTTTCAGCTTAGATCTTTGGGAATCCCTACTTCATAAAATGAATCAAGAAGCCACAGACAGTATTAAAGTGATGAGCAGTACTCTAAACAAAGCATTCTCCCCTCCTCCCGTCCCCCCCGCCCACCTCAGCTGGCCAAAAAAACATGACTATCAGAAAGTGTGAAAAGGCAAATTGGAAAATACAAAGTGAGCTTCATGTAAATAAAGCCAAGTTACCTGGAGCCATTGGTCAGATTCTCAGCCAGTGTAAATCAGTGTAGCTCGACTGCAGAGCCATACTTATGCACACCAAATGAGGATCTGTCCCTTTTTGTAGATAAGGCAAGCAAACAATGATACTAGTCAGTATGTAAGGAAGGTCACACCTCCTAAAACCCCTTTCCGTCTCACTTAATAATGCAAGTATTTAGCTCCTAGACCAAGAGTTCTGACACTTTTTCAGTGTGGAGCACATTTTAATAAGAAGAGTGTCTCACAGGCTTGCTCCCTTCCCATTTGCTATCACATGGACCCCTCTCCTCTCATTTGGATAGCCTTCCTCAGTCTTCAGCAGTCACTGCTATGTGAAGTCTTTTAAGTCTCTTTACTGTCATAAAATCCTTTCCCCCTTCCAATCTATTCTATTCCTTTCCCTTGTCCTGCTCCCTTGCACATGCTTCTCCGTCACCTGTTCCCTCCCTCTGGACATGCTTCCCAATTGCCTGGCCCTCCCGTCTCCCCTGGACATACTGCCAGGCCGCCTCATTTCCTTTTCCTCTGGACATTCCTCTCCCAATGGAAGCTAGCAGATGCAGCTAGGGCCAGGCTATTCTTCCTTGTTTCCAGCTGCTTTTACAGGCCTCTGCACACTTCTTTGCAGTGCAAAGCCAGCATCCCTCTAGAGCAGGGGTTCTCAAACTTAATTGCACCACGATCCCCTTCAGACAACAAAAATTACTACATGACTCCAGGAGGGGGGACTGAAGCCTGAGCCCACCTGAGCCCCACCGCCTTGGGCCGGGGGACCAAAGCTGAAGCCCAAGGGCTTCAGCCCCAGGCGTGGGGCCTGTAACCTAAGCCCTGCCACCTGGGGCTGAAGCTCTTGGGCTTTGGACCTGGGTGGAGGGGTTTGGGCTTTAGCCAGCAAGTCTAACGCCAGCCCTGGCGATCCCATTACAATGGATTCCGACCCACAGCTTGAGAACCACTGCTCGAGAACCAGCTAGACAGAAGCAACCAGTACCACATGACTAGCCGGCTCCCTGCTGAACACAAGCAAGTGCTCTGTGGACCACCTGTGCACCCCACACCAAAATCTGGGAGCTGCTGACCTAAGCATGTTGCTCAAAAGCAGAGAGAAAATGTAAAGCAGATCAGACTGAAGTGAAAGTGCCAATTCTGTTCCCTTTGGAGAGGGAACAACTTAGCTGCTTTGGAGAACAGGCCCCTGAAAGCACACATGGTATATACAACGTTGTTGTCCACCCAGAGCTTCTTCAGTCATGTCGCATTTATTTAGAGTTACTGAACCTGCACCCAGTAAATGTTTGAAGAACAGCACCCTTTCCTCAGCCTGTTAGTGCTACCTAAGGTACAAATGTTGTGCCCAACTTTGATGACATGTTTGCAGAGGTAAAAAAAAAATAAAAATAAAACATCTGACAAAATACTACACATGGGATTTTCAAAAGTGATCAGCAATGGCCTTACCCTTATTGACCTCAGTGGGAACGGTACGTCTACACAGCAACCTGACACCCGTGGCTGGCCCGTGCCAGCTGACTCGGGCTCACAGGGCTTGGATTGCAGGGCTGTTTCATTGCTCTGTATACTTCTGATTTTCCTACCTTGCAGGGTCCTAGATCCCGGGCTCCAGCCTGAGCCCAGACATCTACACAGCAATGAAACAGCCCCACATCCTGAACCTGAGTGGCTGGCACAGGCCAGCCATGGGTGTCTAGTTGCTGTATAGACAAACCCTGATACCTTTAGCTTTGACCTCAGTGGGAGCAGAGTTAGACCAATGGTGAGTACTTTTGAAAATTCCATGCTACATGTTCACAGATGTGTCTCCAACTTGAATACCAGCTGATTTTAACCACTTTTTACTTGGGAGTTAAATATTTTGCACAGTTCCTGATTATGGCATAGCTACAGCCATGTCAGATCAATTTTTTTTGCATTATAGCTAGAGAACATACAAGTTATACATTTTCCAGATTTTTTTAATCCCGAACTACCAGCTCAGTCAAAGGTGTTTTAGTAAATATGGCTAAAATAAAGGTGTTTTACCTGATAACTGTCCAGTGGCCACAGGTCTCACTTTATACGGCGTACTGAAAAAAATATCAAAGAGGGCTGGTTACAATGACACTGACAAAACGCTGTGTTTTCTGTATAGGACTGGTGTACATGCCATGAAGAGCGGGAGGAAGTATACGAATGCATTCTGAGCTGGCTTGAAATTTGTGGGTTGAAAATTTACCCATGGAAATAAAGAACATGGACTTTCTATGAATTTATCGCCTTCAAATTTGCCACTGCATTGGTGGTAAAGGACTTGGTCACGCTGCTTTAGTGCCACCAGAATATACCATTGTCACACTGCAAGCACAGCAGAAATCTTTCCCCTTTGAGGAGAGTCAGGTTAGCTTGGAAATAGAGGTGTCAAGGAAATGGTCACTGGGAAGAAGAAAGTTCCTTGGCAGGGCCGCCCAGAGGACTCAGGGGGCCTGGGACACAGCAATTTTGGGGGCCCCTTCCATAAAAAAAAGTTGCAATACTATAGAATACTGTATTCTCGTGGGGGCCACTGAGGGGCCCGGGGAAAATTGCCCCACCCCCTCCCTCCCCAGGCGGCCCTGGGAAAAATAAACATTTAAAAACCTTCCGCATCTCAGCACAAACCCAGTTTTGAGAAAATTTCTTTTCAAGTCACCTTTACAAGGTATCACTGGTTCTCAGCTTCAGCTAGTGCTAAAAGACACTAAAGCTCATTAAAAGGGTTGGACAAATATTTTCCGTCAAAACTTTTTTTGGATCGAAAACTAGGGGTTTTTAAAAAGCAGAAAAAAATCACTGACAATGTCTGCTTTCCTTCAAAATTTGTTGTGTTTTTTTTTAATTGAAAAGCTGAAATAAGTCTGCCAAAACCTGAACATGATTTGGGGTTTCAGAAGTGTGTGGCCAAATATTTGCTGCTTGCTGTGTTTGATTGTTTAAAGAAACAATACAAAAATTCTGCTTAAAAAAAATCCAAAACTTTTGAATTTTAATGGAGTTAGATGGCTTGCCTCCTTGATCTCCGGCAAAAGCACACACAACAACAGACAGACAAAGACTTTCCTCCCTCCCAGATTTGAAAGTATCTTGTCTCCTTATTAGTCCTGTTGGTCAGGTGTCAGCTAGGTTATGTGAGCTTCTTAACCCTTTACAGATAAAAGAGGAATTAACCCTTAACTGTATGTTTATGACACACTCAAAAAGCTTATCAGATGTCACCGCTCAATCTGATGGGGGCCCTAGTAAGCCAAAGTCCTTCCAGCCCTTCTGGAAGGGTTGCCTCTTTGGTCAGAAGGACTTGTCTGCTTGCTGAATCAAAAGAAGGCCCTGAGTCAGTTTAAATGCAGACTTTTTATGCCAAACATCCTTTTTTAGTCCGTTGGTCTCTGGAAAACCTAGTTTGAACCGATTTATGCAAGCGTCCCCAGGCATGGTACCTCTCTGGAGGTCTTTACAATGTGAGTGATTCACCTTAAATCACCATCCACTGCTTTTAGTTCCTGGAGGAGCTGTGGTATCATTCCCCCTCACTCTCCTCCACTGCCCCAAGTTGCATACAGTCCCTGGCCCACAGTGATACATAAACCATTCATAAGCTTAATACAGTATGTATCCCCAGAGATACTGCACAAGGTTGTAACATATGTCATAACAACCTAGTATGATATTAGTCTCTTTTGTAGCTGCATCATATGGTTGACACATTCACTTTGTGATTCACTATAATCCCCAGATCCTTTCCAGCAGTACTATTGCCTAGCTAGTTATTCCCCATTTTGTAGTTATGCATTTGATTTTTCATTCCTAAGTGTAGTACTTTGCATTTGTTTGTATTGAATTTCATCTGCTGATTTCAGACCAATCCTCCAATTTATCAAGGGCATTTCAAATTCTAATCCTGTCCTCCAAAGTGCTTTCAACCCTTCCCAGCCTGGTGTCATCTGCAAATTGCATAAGTGAACTTTCGACTCCATTATCCAATTGATTTATGAAAATATTGAATAGTACTGGACCCCTGCGGGACCTGCTGGACACATTTCCCCAGTTTGAAAGTGTATCATTGATAACCATTCCTTGATTGCTGTCCTTCAACCAGTTTTTCACCCACTATTTCACCTACCTGCACATGACTGAGCCATAGAAGGCAGGCCAAGCACATACTTGGCTAAAATAATGTAGAAATATCTTGTGGTTAATCTGAAGAGCAGAAATACACTATTTTTCTTCTTTGCCCAAGGAGTGACTCAGTGATAGGTCAGAAGGAGGAATGTGCTCATGCCATCCAGCAAAAGTAACAGTTTCAGCCAGATATCTAGGCACTGGGACTGAGGCTGGGCGAGAAGCTGAGAGTTAAGGTAAGCAAGCTATATTGAGCAGGTGCCCCCTATGAGACTGAACTCAGGCCAGTGGGCCATTCAGGCTAGGCATAAGAAGCATACAGAAGCCTGTGCAGTGATTTTTTTGTTCAATCAAAACAACATTTAAGAAAAAAATGTGTAGAAAAATGTTGTTTCATTCAACTTTTGTTTTCCACTTAAATTAAAGTCTTTAAAAATGGTTTTCATTGAGCTTTTCCTCTCTTGGGCTTTCCTTCTCCTCGCCTCCTTTTCCCTCTCGGGGCGGGGAGAGAAAAAGGTAAAGAGGGAGAGAAAGGAGGCGGGGTAGAGGGGTAACAACAAATTGAAAACCTTGGAGACTTTTTTGGTTCTTGTTTCACCAAGAAGCAGAAAAACAAAAACAAACAAACAAATAAAAACCCTGTTAAACATTTCAAATGAAATGAGAATTTTTTAGAATCCCTGACCCATCCTGCTCCTTGTCCCCTGACTACCCCCCCCCCTGAGACCTCCCCAATCCAACCCCCCCTTCCCTGTCCCCTGACCGCCCCCCGAGAACCTCTGCCCCATCCAACCCCCTCTCCCTGTCCCCGGGACTCCCTGCCCCTTATCCAACCCCCCTGTCCCCGGCCGCTTACCCCCGCCTCCCGGCGCCTCAGCGCGCGCGTCCAGGAGTGGCCCTGGACAGCGCTGCAGCCATGTGGCTCCAGAAGGCCTGAGCTCCTCCCCGCTCAGAGCCGTGTGGTAAGGGGAGGAGCCGCTTGGCCCAGAGCTTGCAGCCCCGCCCCCTTACCACGCGGCTCTGAGTGGGGAGGAGCTCAGGCCTGCCGGAGCCACACAGCTGCAGCGCTGTCCAGGATGCGCTGAGGCACCGGGGGGATGGCGGGAGCGAGTCTCAGCCATTCTCGTGGGGGCCCCTGCGGGGCCCGGGGCAAATTGCCCCACTTGCCCTCCCCCTCCCCCCGGGCAGGCCTGTTCCTTGGGGCAGGGACAGTCTTTTTGTTCTGTTTGTACAGTGCCTAGCACAGTGAGGTCCTGGCCCATGACTGGGGTGGGGGCTAGGCACTACGGTAATACAAGTAAATACATAAATAAATAAAGAATAACAAGAGTGGCCACGGTGAAAAAAATAGCAAGGCAGAGCAAGCTATGAGATGCCAGGGAACAAAAGTAAATGGGGTTTAGAGCCATGTTGGGCTTGGAGCAGCATGTATATGAATCCATACCTCATAAAAGCCGGGACCCCCAGTTTCTAAATAATGGCATACCTACGTTCTAATAGAGAAATAAAGAAGGCTGTGAATTAAGGGAGCTGGGAGCCTTTGGAGTAAACACAGTGGGTTGTAAAAAGATGTTCTATACTAAATACTTATGTGCAGTAGTTTTTCCTCAGATAGCTCTGCCTACTTTAATAACAGGTAAAATTAAAAACCAAAGAGGCATTTGTGTTATAATCTTGTGCCCAACTTCTGCTGACAGCTACCTCCCACTGCACAGGCTCTGTTACCACGTCGCACAGGAAAGGTGTTTGTGGCTAAGCAAACCCTTTCCCCTTGGCTTGGTGCTATTTTACAGGATCGAGCCCGCCTCAGGCTTACCTCTCTGAGTTTGCTGGCATTGTTGGATCGATGGATACCATGCAATTATCAACCGTCAAAAGTGAGATAGTTGTGTTCCTGAAAGACACGAATCAAAGAGGTTTATTTAACCTAGAAAGTGATGGTCCTGATTCTGCGCTGCCTCAGACCTTGCATTGCACAGGTATAACTGGCTAAGTGGGCTTAGAACACTCTCATTCTGAGTAGCTACTGTATCGCACCCATTTTGCACTGGTGTAGATGATGACTACACAAGGGGCAAGGCCGTGGAGAATTAGGTCCTTAATGGCTATGTTCTGTACAGTACAACCACAAGAGACATTTGTGATTAAAATGCAACTATGGTCTTGTCTGTCCCCAGAGGGAACTTTGCTCCCTATAAAATCACAAATGCTGTGCTGTTGAATAATCAGATACTGACTTCCACTGAGGAGGTATCATGATTTATTGACTTGGCAGATATATATTGACTGAGTTAAAAATCAATAAAAATACTTACCTTGAGATAATACATACAAAATCCAACCCCCTTCATTCTACACAAGTGATTATCAGTGTTGTTATTCACTTCTTTTACAAAAGGGAATTCTGAAATTGTTAAAGAAACTCCTTCACAACAAACAAAAACAAAACACCAACAGCAACTGAAAAGAGGGCAATGTTTTCTGAATATTATTTTGCTAGTTTTGGCACCACAGACTGAAATGGGCTCACCAGAAGCTTGTTTGAAATTAGTGAAACTTCAGCAGCCCTTTGTATGGCCCTATTTAAAACAAACCATAACCCAGCCTGTTTAACTGATACCCTCCTGTTATTGTCCATGAATGGCTTACGTTGTTAAACAAGGTTTTCTGAGTGACAGTGGAAGTGTTTGACAGCACAGGCAAACAACAATTGTTGATCTCTCCAATATCAAAGGAGGGGTAATAGCAAGGGTAAACAGCAAAGCTTATTGGATTCCATCCCAGAGTTTTATGTAAATAATAGTCAGTAGGATTCTCCAGATGCCCACAGAGTTAACCACACTCAATAACCCTGTGATTTAATGATCTGTTGTTGTTTTTCTTGGGTTTTGTACTGTGGGCATGTACATCTAAGGGACATCATACTCCTCTCTGCATACCCCTTTTCGAGGATTCTGTGATGTCCAGGGAGCAGTGGGAACTGGACTCCAGTGCACAGACAAAGGTTTCAACCAGATTCATGGGTGAAACCTCCAGCCAATTCCCTTTGTGAAGGATAGGAACACCAAACTCTATCCCAAATGAAACAATTAACAAGAAACTCCAGGAGTGGAGACTCATGGAATTTTTAGACCACACCCCTCCCACAGAAATAACCCAAATAAAGAAGAACATGGCCTGGACTCAGCGACATTTTTGTTTGTTTGTCCCACTTGTGCACAATTCTAGTGGGTACTCTGTTTGGATACCAGGAACCTTGAACAAGATTGGTATAGTTCTATCTGACACTGCCCCAAATGTAAAACTGGTATCCTTGACTGGGTTTGTCTGTGCACAAGTTCTCAAAACACCCCTCTCTTCTATTCTATTCCTTATACTAGACCAATATTGTGATATCTGAGCACCTTCCAATAGTGCATTAAGCCCTCTTCTATTGATATTTATGCATGAATTACTGTTCCCCCACTTCTGATTCCCATATACTGTAACTTGAGATATGCCTGAGATGCAAAATTCAAATCTGGGTTCAGGTCTGGATTTTGAAATATCTTCTCCTCTTCCCAAAATTCAGGGATTGTTGAGTGAGGTGAGGGTGATTGTTTTGAGGCGACTTCTGAATTGTTCTGAAGAGGGAAGGAACCAAGGTGAAAGGTGTATTAGCCCTTGTCAAATGTATCAAGTGATACCTACCTTGGTAACCCAGTTGCAATGCAGAAGAGGTCCACAATATCTCTGGAATTGCAGTATTTACTGAAGACCACCTTCCAAGCAAAACAGCAGCAGTGAAGAAAAACAAGACAAAGAAGATAAGGTACGGTTAAATTCCATCGGACATTAACCTCATGTACTGGCTTTATGTAAATGATCATCCTTGCTTTTGAAATATCTGATTTGCCCTGGATGTTGGAATTCTTTCCTCCCTTTCTTCTCTTCCCCCTTTTCTAATTCATTTATTTTCAATGAGAAAGCAGAGGAGGAAAGGGGATTTTGCAATCCTAACCCAACTATCTACAAATATAGCATACGATACCTGAAATGATAGCAAAGAAACTTTATCATACACTTAATCTAGCTAATGATCATGACCACACATTGTAGAAAGAAACAATTGTAAGTGCTGAAGGATGTCTATATAATGGGTTAGATCCTCAGTAGGCATTGGTTAATTCAAGTCAACAGTGCTGCACTGATTTATATCAGCTCAGGATCTGGTCCTATAATTTAGACAGGATGTAATGTTTTCCAGTATGCCAAACTTCCCACTGTAATGTACGGCACTATTGCAGTACTGTTAGGTTAGCAGTTGAATCCACTTGAGACAAATTCTAATTTTTCCCACTGCTGTTGACCCCCAAAGAATGCCCTTTTCCCTTTTACACACAAAAAATGATGTTAAAAAAAAACCACTATTAAGGTTGCAAAGACAATCCTAAAAGATGTCAGTTTAAAAATCTCCAAAAGTCAGGAAATGCTGGAGTTAGGTTTTCCATGCCACCCCTTTGTGTTGTGATACAGTCTTTAATTACATGATCACATACTATTTTTTCCACTGGACCCCTGCCTCTTTCAGTCCACAGGATAGACTTGCTCTGGAGATGAATCATGATTGTGTAGTAAAGAAGGCTGTTGTCTGTCGGACCCTTGCTTCATTTGTTGCAGAAGTTGGCAGATATGGGGAAGGGGACTGCAGGAAGAGAAAGGACACACTCATGGTCTTCCTGTAATCCCCTGCCTCGTTCCTTCTGCCACTCAGACCTCTGCCATTTGAGTTAACAGAATAACTGATAGCAGTAGTAGGTTGTCATCCTGTATGTGGCCCAGCACTAGAGGGGGGCAGGACACTTTGCCAGTGGGTTTCACACATATTTGCTGACAGCAGAGGAATGGTGAGACTCGAGGATCTTGCTTTCCATGCCAGGCTCTAATGGGGAGTGTGCTCTACTGGGCATGGATTCTTCTGTTTATTCCCCCCAAGCATGACCCCTTCTCCAGCCTGTTCCAATCCCGTTGCTTCCTCACTCCTGGCTCCTTCTTCCAATCTCATTCTCTTCACTTTGCAGCTCCCAGTCTCCATGCCTCAGGCTTCTCACCCCAGTCCCAACCTCCTTGCTCAGCCGGTCCCAGTTCTCCCCTCCTGGCTTCTCATCCAGTCTGCCTCTCTCCCCCACCCTGGCCTCCAGTTGCCCCCTCCACCCACATTCCCAGTCTCCTTCCCTAGTCTCCTCATTCAACTTCACTGTTCTCTCTTGCTTCCCAGCTCTTTGAACCACTCTCTTTGTCCAGTCAGTCCCACTTCTCCTCTGCACCAGTTCCTCATCAGATCTCTCTCCCTTCCCTGGTCACTTCCTTTACCCTGCTCCCACTCAGTCCCAGTCTCCTCCCACCTACTGGCTTGCTCCCCATTACCTTCCCTGGCTCACAGTCTTGGTCTCCTTCCTGCCCCAACTCCTGACCTGAAACATGTCTCCCCCCCATGGCCTTCCCTGGCTCATAAACCCAGTATCTTTATTCAGCCAGTGCCAGTCTCCTTGACCAGCCTGCCCGAGTCTCCCTCTCCCCACCCCCCATCAGCATGCAACCCCACTCAGGCTCCTTGTTCTATCTATTCTCCCTCAGGTCTGGCTCTTTCCTTGCAGCACCCTCCTCCTCACTGCCTGGACCCAACAGAGGGGCCATTAAGAGCCCAGTGTCTACTTTCAGTTCCAGTGCCTGGGCTCTGATTCAGCTTGGCCTGTAGCAGCCCAGAGCTGTAATTGCAGAAAAAATCCTGCTCAGACCCAGGCTGTAATGTGCCCAGTGCTCATGGAATCTTCAGGGGATTTAGCCGCTAAAATCTAAGAAGTCTCTACTGAGCATGTGCAAACTGAAATTTTTCAAAGGCTTAAACCTTGGCCAAATTTGGGCAGATTTTCACAGGGGCAAAAGGCACATCCCTGACACAAAGACCAAATTTCAAGTCCCTGCTCCAAAGCAAGCTCCCTTCCCCCCACCCCCAGATCATTTCAAAGAAAAGGTCTCAGAAGTTGTTTAACCTGGGCAAAATTTATGTTTCCCTAGTCTTGTTCTCAGATATGGCTGAACAGTTTTGGTTGAAATGAAACTAAATAAATAAATTCAGCCTGACGCAGACATCCAACACGGACCATTTCTACCCATATAGTCAAAGTTTGGCAAAATTATAAGCAACTGAAAACAGGGTCTTATAATGCGAGGTGTCAGGCAACCTTAATAATGGGTGGTGCTACCAGCCTCACCTATAATATCAGGACTTAATCTTGTACTGATGCTTGCAGCCCTAAGCATTCAAAAAATCATAAATTAGGCCAAAAATGAGATTGGTTTCAAAATCACGAGATAAAAGTATCTATATAGATATTGCGTTCTTATTTGCCTTTTGGTTTTTGAGCCTTTAAGCATCATGTTGGCAAGCTTTTCTACACAACCCTGGGGCAGAAACTTAACATTTCCCCCCAGACAATGAAAGTCGAGAATTTTACATAATAAAAAGATTCCAGGAGTTGGGGATTTAAGAAAACAGACCAAGTATCACAAAAGTCGTAATAGAATTTTAAGAGTTGGCAATGCACAGGATGTGTGAGACTAGGTAAGATATGCTGTCTTTTAGAGGAGATATTTAACCAATGTTTCATTTCCCAGTCTCTGAGAGAAATTAAAAACCTCATTGTTGTGGGTGGCATGTGGTTTTTGTTGTTGGTGGGGTTTTTTAATAGTAAGAGAAGGGGATAAATGTTAGTGCATTTCCCCACTCATTCAGGTATCTAGATTAAATTTACAGGATTGAACAATTAGATCATTAAAAACCTGAGGCAGATCATTACCAGTTATTACATGTTATTCAGAAAGTAATTGGCATCAAGAGTCAATTTATCCTATATGGCTATTTTGATAATCACCACAGTGATGGACCTTAGTTTATTACAGTCCAGCTGCAATCAAAGCAATAAATCAAGGTTTTAAATATATTTTTAATCAGATTTAGATATGGCTGAAATCCTGCTCTTAGCAAAACACAGCATCTTTCGGAGGTGCTGGCTACTAAAACTGTCTGACACAATATCACAAGCCCATTATTGTACAAACAACTGACAAATGCAATAATTTAGGAGATGATGGCAATTGCAGCTGAACTCAGAATGAACTTTTGTGACATGCTGGGAGTGCTATTTCAGATGTCCGGGGTTCTCATTCTGGAAATCAATTATTAGTGACCAGAAACTGGGATAAGAGTGGGATAAGATAAAAAATATTCAGGAAGCACTAAAGGTCAGAAAGCCAGCTTGTTTCATGAAGGAAAACACAGAGATTTCAATGAAGCCAGGATGAATTTTTAAAAGTTCCAGATAATAACAAAAGAGTGCAAAGTTATATTTAAATGGACTATGGGCTAGATTCCTAATTTTCTTGGTCTTTTAAAAGTTTGATAGAAACTGTGATTCATAAATCACTTGTTGCATTTTGATAAGGAGCTCAAAATTTAGCTGGGGATTGGGTCCTGCTTTGAGCAGGGAGTTGGACTAGATGACCTCCTGAGGTCCCTTCCAACCCTGATATTCTATGATTCTATGATTTGAATGATTGTCTTTAGGGTTTTTTTTTTAAACCAATGATTTTATGCTATAAAAGGTCTTTTCCTTTGTCAGCTGCTGAGCTCTTCTGATTGGCTTCCTTCTCTTTTCAAGCAAAGCAGTCAGCCAGCAAGCAATCATTTCCCAGCAAATATACAATTGTTTCTGTGATTGCCTGCACATTCTTACTCCCAATGAAGTAAATGGGAGTTTTCCTGGTGACTTCTCAGTGGGAAAAGGGTTGGGCCCTTTGTTTTGAGACTGAGGTGGTGAGTTATTTTGCCCTAAGGTCTGATTAATGAGCTAGTAGTATCCTTTCTATTTTACATTATGTGTAACTTGTGCGGGGTGTGGGGGGGATGGACTTTGGGCACTTGTGCACCATTTATAGCCCTAGCACAGTCTGAAAAGCCCATTCACTCAGAGCCCGCGTTTATTACACAGACATTAGCAATTTTCACCATCTATGGGTGAACCACAGCAATATTAGCTTGCAAACATCCATTGCCACATAGGGTGACCAGATAGCAAGTGTGAAAAACCAGGACAGTGGATGGGGGGTAATTGGCAAAGCCCCGAATATTAGGACTTTCCCTATAAAATTGGGACATCTGGTCACCCTAGTTGCCAATGGCAAAATGATTAGCCACCGACCTGTCACAGTCTTGGTAACCTGCTTCCAGATGGCAATTGCAACTCACTTCTGGCCTCTCTCAACTGCGTGTCCTGGTACTTAAGGGCCAAGGGAAGCTCATCACACACTCCAGAAAGGCATCTTTCCTCATACAGAAGTTCTAGAACCATTGACGATCATCGTCCTAGGTCCGCATGATAATGCAGTCCCATCACTCTGTGCTTGTGGTCCTGCTCCAGAATTGCCAATCAGCTTTACTGGGATTCCACAGCTATTAAAAGCTGCATCAGCTGTCTCCACTGCTCCATATCTGCATGCAGCCTGCATGATCTCCTAAACAAGCCCTGCTGCCATCGTTTTCTCAAGATGACAAGCGGCTGCTGAAATGCCCTCTGTTGTGTCTGATGTCCTGTATCCGTTTTGAGTTGCGTTAATGCCAACATCTCAGAGTAGGAGCCATGCTTACCCACAGATTGGGACAGAGGTCCACCCTGGACAGAAATCTAGAGAGTGTCAAACAAGAAGTACTTCATTGAGTTGG